AGTGCCCAAGCCCAGAGTTCAAGACCCATGACCAACAAAAAAAAAAAAGGGACTACTCTGCCATGTACAATCCCACCACCTTACCACCTGAACTATGTGGTGAGCACCAAGCTGGAGATAAGACAGGAAAGACCTCCTCCCAACAGCCATGTCCATGTGTTAAATGGCCTCAGATATGAAGAGGAAGTTGGAGTGTCTGTCCATTCTCACCAGCTTGAGCCATGGGTACCTGAGAGCCCAGTGACTTATGAATGAGGAATGAGCAAGAACCATCCCTGACCAGCATGGTCTTCCCATTGGTAGGAGAAGGCTCTAGGCACCCCAAGAGTGCCCAAGAGCAGAGCACTCTTGGAAATGTAGAACCAGCCAGCCCTTCCCACCTCTCCTCTTTCCCATAATCTTTGGCACCCCACCCCCCACTATCCCATTCTGGTGGCCATGATGGTCACTCTGTCATCAGTTGCCAGAGGGGTGCTGAGCAGTTTTATGATGCTGTGTCTCATGGGCAATTCTGGGTCCTTCCAAATTCATTCCAGAGGATCATGGCCAAGAGATATAGTCAGATGCCATGGGAAGGCCAGCTCCTCCCCCTTCCTGTCTGTATGGGTTTGCTAAAGCCACTGTAACCAAGTACCACGTACATAGCAGACGTGTATTTGCTCACAGTCCTGAATGCTAGAAGTCCAAAATGGAGATGCCAGCAGGACTGGCCCCCTCTGCATGCTGTGAGGGAAGGGTCTGTCCAGCCCTCGCTCCCTTCTTGCCTGATAGATGGCTGTCTTCCTATTGATTCTTTCTGTTATGTGCGGGGCGGGGGGGGGGGGGGGGGGGGAGGGTTGTTCGTTCCTGAAGTTTCTCTTTGAATGTGAACATCAATCCTGTTGCGTTGGGGCATTTAACTCACATTTTGACTAGATCACCTCTGCAAAGTCTCTGTCTCCTAATTCAATCCCATTTTGAGGTGTTGGGATTAGAACCCCAACATACATATGTGGTTCATGTTTAACTCATAGCACTGCCCTAGCCTAGACCACTGATCTCTGACCTCTAGTCTCTGGTCTATCTTCTTTGTTCAGAGCGTCCATAGCCCTGGGATCCTCTCAGTTCCTTACCCTCAGAACTCCCAGAAATCAGCCCTGAATTCTAAGCTGGGTACCATCAACAGCTCACAACTTCTGCCTTGAATTGCCCTTTGACTACTAGGAGCTTTGGTTTCTAAATCCAAAATGGAGGAAATAATTTCTACCTTGTCTACTTCACAGAGCTCTTGTGAGCATCTAATAAGATAGCAAGAATGACAGCATCCTAAAAAAAACTAATAATAATAATAAGTAGGCCACCAATGGGAAGTAACTTCACTGTGTCATTATTACTATGAGCAAGAATAAAGGAATTTTCAGGCTGGAAAGAGTCCCATCCACACCTTCTGAAGCTGCAGAAAACCCATTCCTTTCTAAAGTCCTCTCTTTTTATTCCTCTCAAGAGGAAACCCCACAGCATTCCCTACTTGTGGAGCACTTCCCCATTCCAATGAATTACAACTTTCATTCACTCAATAACCATCCCTACCCTAACCTAAACACATTGTGCTACATTTCAGCCCATATGTTTCCAATCCTGCCTTGGGTTAGGGAGAACTATTCACTCCCTCCAATATTTCTGAATGGGCTCTTTCTTCCAGTCAGTATACAGTGTCCCCAAGCACTTGCCATGCATCAGATACTGTGCTACCTACAAAAAGCTCAGAGCTGGAAAAGAAAGCTCTGTGGCCCTTCTGATACCCATAGTCTACAGAGCAAGTATTCCCTGGGGTACAAGCTCTCCTCCCCAGGAAAGCACCAGTAACTTTTTGCTTACACAGGCAGCATTGCCTACATTTTTTTTCCTCCTTGGTCAGTACCCCTGTCAGACACACAAGTCCTTTGCAGATGTTAGGAATGTTTCCCTTTGAAGCCAGAACCCAACTCGTGTCAATCATTTTCCACAAACACCTCTGGGGATCTCTAGATGGTTCTTCTTGCTGAGGAAGCAATAGACAATAGCCCCGATTCCTACTTAGAAAAGATCTCCTCATCTTGCTGTCCATATGACAAGGAAAGGTGGGAGTCTAGTGGCTAGCTACCTCACAACGTGAAAGGCTCCTGTTCTTTCCAGCATATTCTATGATCTCTCCCTTAATTGCCCAGTTAGTTTGACTTGCTGGGTGTTTCCCCAAACCTCCTGCTTCCTCTTCATTCTATCTACGGTCAGACCTCCCCCATGGATGCCTCCAGATTCATCTCCTTCTCCCATGCCAGTTCCTCCTGTGTGCGTCTTCTACCTGTGGACTTCATGAACTCAGGTTTAGTTCTGCAAATCGCTCCAAAGAGTACCCTAAATTCTCATTTTGTTAATCCTCAAACATGTCTGTGCTTGCAGGGACCCCCCAATGGCTTCTCCCCACTTTTCAGCAAAGACTCAGCCAGAGCATGCTCTCACTTAATCAATTTCTGCAATGTGCTTATTAGCGCCTTGTAATGTAGCCGCCTAAATAATTAAGACTAACCCACACGTGTCAAATTAAATGAGCCAAAAACATTGAGAAATTACTTCGTCCTCGATCTCTTTTTTATTAATCAACTTTTTAAAAGAAAAAAAAACTTCTTTTCCTATTCATTTACAAAAAAAATCAAACATAAGCAGGGTGACTCTTACTTATAATAACTGTGTGTACGTGCGGTCTCTCCTCGGGCAATCCCCTAGGGACATCCTAGTATGTGACATAGCACAGGCTAGGATTGTCTTAATGTGATAGAAGCCAGCAATGTAGATAATCAGATGCAACAAGTTGTGCATACTCTAGTCTTTGGGAGAATTCTTCTCCCTGCCCCTTGTCTGAAAGTACAGAGTATTGCTTTAAAAACAAAACCGAGACATTGGCCAAATCTATCCAGCATTTTCCTGCACTCCTCCCACCCACCCCTCACCCCTGTTCAATCCATGAACACAGACTCTCTTTCTCATTAAGACCGTCGCTGATAGGATCTAGATAGGCGTGAGTCAATGGTGAATGGTCAGCGACTCCGTCATTCTGATGGTGAGCAGCGTGCCCACGATTCTAATGGGCAGGCAGACTCTGCCTGTCACCAGCACACACTTGAGCTTTCAGTACAGGCTCCAACAAGAGGCTATTGTTGGCGGGAGCTCAGAGCCTCCTCACAGCTTGTACTTCCACGGGCTCCCTCCTGTCATGCTGCATTCCTGCCTCTTGGAGGTGGTTGTTAGAAAGAAATCCACAAATATAGTAAGTAAACATCAAAGGGGCTTTGATCCACATGGCCCTCCACAGAGCGGGAGCCCCTGAAGAAAGGGCCAAGGCCTTGGATGGGAGAACTTAACATCGTCAATTTGGGCGTCTGAGATGCAAGGCTGTTTGAAGTGAGGGCAGTTTGCCTGTGCCTTCAGATGAGCAAGTGTGCAAGGGAAGGAAGGAAGAGAAGTGAGTGCCTTTGGAAACAGCACCCTCAGATCTGCCTCTCTGCTCTTCAATGATAGTCAATAAACCCCTTTAAAGAATCAGGAGATCAAAGCATACTGCATCCCTGGGCTGTAGCATTCTGCTGCCACCTGCCATGCTTTGTTTCTCTCTAGGGCATGAGCCCCTAAGCTTGACTTATCTGGGTCTCCTGAGCCTTACCTTCCCTTTTATCCTGATACCTTCAGAGGGTGGACCCACACAGTACGAGGTGGAATAGAGAGGTATGCGGAGGAATAAGACAGCTGTCAATCCCTCAACAGCCACGACACTAGCAGGCTGTATTGTGCACCCACAACTCAATGAAAGCCTCCTTCACTGAGAAGCCAAGGGAGGAAGCAGCAGGTGCCCAGGAATCTTGACAAGACCAGGGAAACATGGGAAGTTTTCAGGGAAGGGGCAGATAGAATCACATTCCCTCTTCCAGAAATCTATTTGCTCAATTCCTGACCCCTGTCCCATTTGAATGACTTCTGAGAGAAGAGGTGGAGACAGGAATCAAAAAGAAAGAAAAGAAAAGAAAAGAAAAATAGGGGGCAATCAGCATCGTTGAACCTCAGTTTCCCCATCTGGATCATATGAATGGCAATGGCCCACCTACCTATCTCATAAGGTTGTTATGGGGGTGAAAAAAGAAGTTAGGTATGGAATTGCTTCAAAACCCATAAAGTTCTTAAGACGAATCAGGATTAAAGAATAAACAGCAGAAAGAAAGCTTGCTTTGCCTTTGCCAGTTCAGTGCTCACACACAACAGGCACTGATTTACAAAATGCTATTCGAAAGACAGGTAAATTGTCTTACATTTGCTACCTGGAATTGTTCCTCTATCTTGTTTTTCCAGGAGGTCAAAGCACGTTGAGTTCTGTGTCTCTCCGACATGCCAATGTTTGTAGTGTCTGTACTTCAGAGATCCTGGATGATGGCTCTGAACAGTGTCCCAGTACAAGAATGGGCAGGATTCTCAACCCAGAAACTCACACATTCTAAATGGTGTCTTTTGCCTTCCTTCAACCCCCGTATCTTCCCCAAACTCACCCAAATCATGTCTTCATTCCTGGGTCTCCCTGTGTGTCTGGTTGCACTGGTCCTACTTTGGGCACAGGCACTGTGGAGACAGTCTCCAAGTCTAGAACAGAAAATGCCTCAGAACCCAAGATTCATAGTTAAAGCATGGATTCTGGAGCAAGACTCCTCGGATGGAGATCTTGGCTTCACCACCAGTTAGCTCTTTTCATCTAAGGCTGTTTCATTGAGAATCTGTGAATAAGGATGATATGAAACATGGATACTAATGGTGAACACTCCACATACTGTGGTGAGAATCTAATAAGAATTACTGAATTACAGTTATGCCTAGAATCCAGTAGGTGCTGCAGAAATTTTGCTAACTAAATATATAGCCCAATTTATAAGGGCAACAAGGTCCATTTCCCCCTTGTAACACTTGATCCATTCTCAACTTACTCTCTCATGCTTTTCTTCCAGAACTGGGCCTCCAGAAGAGAGGATGCTGTCTAGTGTTGGGCTACATGGCCAAGGACAAGTTTCGGAGAATGAATGAAGGTCAGTAAGAACCGCCCTACTGTTTCAGGTGTAATATTGGTTGGGGGAAGAATCTATGTCTATAACTGTGATCCAGAATGGCCAAGAGAAAGAACCTTGGCCATCTCTGAAAACAGAATGAGCAGCTCAGTTTGCTTTCCATGAAGCTGGGTAGAGAGTAATATGGGGAAAGGCAACTAATGCTGGAAGCACAAGATGCTGACCTGTAGCATTCCCCTTGGCTATCTTCCTTATTCCCTTTGCATCCCCTGCTTCTCTTCTCTTCTCTTCTCCTGTCTTTATTCCACCACCCACATACCCAAACCAATTAAGTCTGTCTCTATTGCCATTCTAGTCCAAATTTCTCCATCTTACCCCTGAAATCATTCATGTTTCTTGAATGCATATTGAGCAAGCAGTATCTTACAAGGCACACAGGAGAATCCTAAAGAAGATGAGGCAGTGTTGTATTCTCCAAGAGCTTGTGCTTAGAAATCTCTCTCTCTTCCGACTCCACTGACTCACCCCTCCCTTCTACTCCTGGGCCATTGTGCCTTCCTCCCCCATGTCTTTGCTAACCTCACTTGGTCACAGAAGATGTGGGGAAGGTATTGACCTTGACATCGGCTGGAATGTGAAAGGGGTTCTGTCATTTATGGGCCTGTTGCAATAAAGAACCAAGCATTGCCTCCGCCCTCCAGCCATCTGTCTTCAGACAGCTAATAACCCTCTTTGTCAGATGCACAGACTGTTTGTCAGAATTCAAAAGTAGATAAACAATGGCTGGGGATGCCATTTATTCATTAAAGTTAGACAAATAAACCTTGGCATAGCACCAACCCAGCCTGCTGCGAGCTGGGCCCATCCCTCCCGAGGCTCAGAGTCCCAATAGCCTCACTCCTGCTCCAGGCAAAGGAGAAGGAGTTCACCTCTAGCATCTCTGTCCCCCTCCAGTTTTAATGTCCTCTTCCTTCAGTCTGCAGCCAACTGTCCTCCCAGATCAGCAGCCATGACACCCCTCACCAGCTTTGAATCTGACTCTGGTACAACCCATCATGGGAAACCCAGGAAGCCATCACCTCCCCTATTTGCCTCCCACCAGTGTAAGAAGGCAGCAGACTCCAACAAGCCACATCTCATTTGTAGGAGCCCCACGGTTGAGCACAGCCAGGGGTGGAGCTGTATAGCTGACATCCTGTCTATCCATCTCTTTCATTGCCTTTTTTTTTTCTTTCTCTTTTCTCTATCGCCTCCTCCCTTTCCCAACACTGCTGTGTGTTCTAATTTGTGGGAATGGACCTGGTGCCTCTGTCCGTGGTGCTGAATACGCATGTTCTCTTGCTGACAATGCTCGTTAGAGAGGCTGAATCTAGCTTCCTAGGGATTAGAGCAGCCAAAAAAGAAAGGGGGGTGGGGGCAGGGAGTTAGGAGCTGGGCTGTATTTGAAAGCTGAAACTCCAGGTGTTTGATCCCCCCCCCCAGCTTCTAGGTGACCAAGGAGGTGAGGGAATGCTGAACAAATTGAGATAACATGTGTGATGAGTTACAAGTCTAGACTAACGAAACAGACAGGCTAGAAGGAGGAAAGACCGTGGGACAGGAGAAGGCACAGGTGGGTGCCTTCCAGGCCCAGAGGGGTGAAAACTATTGGGAAAGCGGAGGGAGAGTCCTGCCTCCACCCCAGACAGCCTTGCTACCCGAGTAACACATTATCTACTTGTCTCTTCCTAAAGCTCTGGTGCCTAAACTCCAATAAGAAGGCATCTACAAGAATGGGTGGAAGGGAGTTGCTTTATGGTTTATAATTATCTTTACAAATTCTCAAAATAATCTTTATCACTCCTTCGTATTAATAATTAAGCTGGAATCGCAGCCCTGACACTGATCACAAAATAAAAATCTCTATCCATGCCATACAACCTATCTTGGCATAAATTGAACAAATTGATAAACTACTAAAAAGAAAAAAAAGTAATTATTTTCTCCAGGTTGCTGGAATTAGTGATCTATTGGAACAATTAGCTGCTTCTTCCAGTAAGGATAAGATGATGATCATTATCTTTCCAACTCAGAATAAATAGAAAGGACCTACTTTTGCCATATGGAAGCATGTTTGTTTTGTTGAACAGTGTCTAACAGGGCGTCTGTCACTCAGAGAAGTGATTTCATCTTTCTTTTGTTTCCCTGTTTATTTTTGGTATCTTTTTAATTCTTTCTCTTTCCACCTTCCCCTCCCCCAAGACCTTTCAAAAAAAAACAACAACTTGGGAAGAGGCAAGTGGAAAATAATGAATGAACAGCAGCTTATCATAAGTTAGAGTAACTGCAATTGGTTCTGTTAAGCTACACAAAGCAATAAAAAAAATACTACTCAGAAGATCATTTAAGGAAGCCTGTGGTAGGCCATGAGAGACTTACTCTATATGGAAGTTCTTAATAGCTTCTCAGAGAGAGTCTACAGCCTACATGGGAATGGAGAAGGTTGGTGATGAGTATGTTTGTGTGTGTGCGGGTGCGCGCGCATGTGTGTGAGTGTGTGTGTGTGTGTGTGTGAGTGTGTGTGTGAGTGTGTGTGTGTGTGAGTGTGTATGAGTGTGTGTGTGTGTGTGAATGTGTATCTGTTTGGCCTAAACACCCAGGAGGCAGCCGATGGAGATACAAACAAAAGTCAGCAAAGGACAGGCAAGAACAGAGGAACTAAAGACAGGCTTAAGGATGTCAGATTTGTCTGACATCGTTGTCTTCATGTGATTAAGAACACGTTGCTTCAGAGACAGTGCCGGAAGGAGATCTTTTATTTATTCATTGAAAAACATCCATTGTAAACGCTAAAAACTGATGCCAGTTTCTCATAACAAGTGTCGGGCTTCCTTCTACACACCGGAGCCATAAAGTCGAATAAGATATACTCCCTGGCCTCAAGGAGCCCACCCTAGAAGCACCAGACATGCCTCAGTGCAGACATTAACCTCCACAGAGACATCCTACCTCACAACTAACCTAAGTGAGATGTCTCTCCTTCCCCAAGATGCACTCCACTGAGCCTTACCTAGTGGACTTCTCAACTTTGTGGTGATGTATATACTGCTTATGCATGCACCCGCAGCCCCCTCTTAGAGAGTTACCTGCAGGAGGGCCAAGGTACTGCTTCCTTCTTCCTTTCCCAGCCCTGGGCCTCAGCCACTGTCTCTCACTGTTTTTAGTTAAGTAACTAAGGAGGATCATAAGTGGCAATAGAAGAATGTAGAAAGTCTCTCACAGGTGTTATGGGGACCTGGAGAAGTTGCTCATCTTACAGAGCTAGAAGGAGTCTTCATGTCTCTGACAATTTTCTGGTTCTAGGGCTTTCTATGAACTCTAGGATTCGAATCTCTGTCTGAGAGGTCAAGGGCCAAGGCAATTTAGCAGAGTGGATTCCTTCCTTCCAACTCTGGCTCTCCAGCCTTGAAGTCTACTACCAGGCTGTTCTTTTTTTGTTTATTTGCTTTATTGTTATTGTAAAGGTGATGTACAGAGGGGTTACAGTTGCATAAGACACACACACAGTAAGGAACCAGCTATATGTCTGCCAAGTGTCTGGATATCTGAATTTAAATCTTCTCAGTACAGAAAATTGAACGATATTGGGTAAGAGAGCCTGCAAGATTCCAAAATGTCATGATGCAAAATTTGGTCCTGAAATCTTGAAACCAGGTGCCAAGGGCTCATGTCTGTCTTCCTGCTAAGATCTAAGAAGCGAGGTTCAAAGTTGTCCTGGGCAGAAATATCTGTAAGACTCTTATTACCATTTAACCAGTAAAAAGAAAGCTGGAAATGGAGATGTGGCTCAAGTAGTAGCACATCAGCCTTGAGCACAAAAAGTCAGGGAGAGCACACTGGTTCTGAGTTCAAGCCCCAATACATTTGGCACCAAAAAACAAACAAAAAAAGAAACTCTGTCCTTTTTACACAGCTATTAGAAAGAATAATATTATGTGATTTGGAGGGAAATGGATGGACCTAGAACAAATCATGTTAAGTGAGGTAAGCCAAGCTCAGAGAGATAAATAGTGTATGCTTTCATATGTAGAAGCTAAATCTGAAATGCACTGGGACATGGTAAATTATAAAGGACTCTAGGCATTCACACATAGTGAGGCCAAAGGAGACCAAAGGATTCTTAAGGGAGAGGAACACAAAGACACAATGCTTCTGTGCTTCTGATTACATAAAAATAATATTTATCAAAATAAGAGGAGAAAAATAAGCAAAACAAAACCTCGGTCCTGGCTCTCAGTATACTACATACGTCTTGTTAGCACCACTTGTGACATAACTTTGAAAACTGTGGTCACTAAAGGAACAGAACCAGGAAGTTGACTGGTTTTGCTCAGCAGCCTCCAATAGCATATCTGGGTTTTTCTCCTGCCTGTTCTCAGAGCCCATTCAGGAGCCTGTCAGCTGCCTGCTGAGTGGAAGAGAGGCAGCCCAGCAGGCCTGCAGATAAAGCCATGCATTCTTCTAGCTGATGGGAAGCGGGAGGAGGGTGGCCTAGGACTTCCATCAGGAGACTGGACCCAGAGAAGAATAAGAGTCACTAGTGTGGGCCTCGCTTCTCACTCCGATGATTGTAGCCACGGCCTCCTCATGCTCAGGGCACATAATCATTTTCCTGAGACAGTTTCTCCACTGCCTGCCAGAGCCCCCGGGATGTTGGCTAATACTGTCATTTTGTTAGTTGGGGCTTTAGGGTGTGTTTTTCCCCCTTATTTCATTTTTCTTACTGATGTGTTTTCCTCCACTGGGGCTGCAAAGCTGGTTATTTGTATAACGTCCCTGTTTATTATTTATGGCAAGACTCGGATTTCCAGGGCACTTTATGATTGTTATTTAATTCACTCAGCCTCTTGGAATGGGAGACCGCTCTTTCTATTTTCCTGCCACAGCCTGATGGAGGATTCCAGAGCCCATTTCTCAGGCCACCATTCCTACCTGCTTACCCAAGGCCAGGGAGCACTTTGGGCTGCCGATCTTTCTAAACA